AATAACCAGCCCTCCCTTCTCTTTCCTATAATAATAATAATAATAACCTGCCCTCCCTTCTCCTTCCTATAATAATAATAATAACCAGCCCTCCCTTCTCCTTCCAATAATAATAATAATAATAACCCTCCCTTCTCCTTCCAATAATAATAATAATAATAATAACCTGCCCTCCCTTCTCCTTCCAATAATAATAATAATAATAACCAGCCCTCCCTTCTCCTTCCTATAATAATATTATTGCTCCATGCACAGAGCCTGGCTCTCCCACCTCACCCCGTAACCATCCCTCCCTTATTGTTAATTCTGATATCTCCTAGACAACCGTCTTATCCTATTTCTGCTTGCATCCTTTTGAAATTCCTCATTCACAGACTGATACTGGTATCTCGTACACCATTATCTTGTCCTGTCCCATCTCCTTTGGCAATATCCTAATCCCCATAATGTATATCCAGTATGTTACTACACTGTTAGCGAAACCTCCTCTGTTAATCGTTTCCTCTTCTTTAGGTCCCAGGATACTGAAAAATCAGCCTTCAGGCATTGCTAGTTAAACTAGATAATGAGACACAGTATATTTCTGATTATATATGGTTTTCCCTAATTCTATAAATGTATATTTTTATAGATCTCTTTTTGGAAGAAACATTCCCAGAAGACAACAGATTTAGTTCAGGTTATTGGGGAATGATCAAACTGCTTTCATTCCGGATCCTGTTCCTAGTAGTTATCATATCTGTCTTGGTTAAGTTGGATGTATAATGGAAAATAACAATTGTACACAGAGTATTATACCTCCAAATTCTTTGGACTTAAATGACAAAGAATGTAATTCCCACAATGAAGACAATCGCTTGGAATCCTTTTTTCACAAAAAAAAAGCCCTTAATGTACTTGATTATTCAGTGGTAATGGCCGGAGAAGATGATACAACCCCCAGTGCTTATAGCACTGCGCATGTAACGACTTGTAGCTCAGATCAAAATGATGAAATTATCAGTAATGAATTAATGGATTCAGATATACAAAGAACTCCATTGTTACAGAGTTCGTATGATTACAGCAATAACCTGGGGGAGTTGCCATTTTCTATGGATAATGTCAATAGACAAACAAGTCATCAGAAAGGATACAGAGAAGGTAAAAGCTTCATATGCTCTGAATGTGGAATGTGTTTTGATAGACATTCAAACCTTCTTCGCCATGAACCGGTTCACACCGGTGAACGTCCTTTTGTTTGTATGGAGTGCAACAAGTCTTATACACAGAAAGCAGATTTGACTAGACATCAGAAGAGCCACATAGCTGTGAAAACCTACCCGTGTCGGGATTGCGGTTATCATTTTGATCACAAGGCTCAGCTTGTGATACATAGAAAAGCCCATAGAGGAAGAACTCAATTCGCTTGCGCGGTCTGCGGAAAATGTTTCATTAAGCACTCCAACCTTCTTCTCCACCAGAAAGTTCACATGGAGCCAAAACCAGAACCAAAGCTTCTTGAATGTTTGTTATGTGATGAAAAGTTCATACACAAACGTGATCTTGCAAAACACAGAAGAGTTCACACAGGGGAAAAGTTCTTGTGCTTTAAATGTGGAGTACGTTTTTCTTGTATTTCAAGTCTTCATAGACATCAGAAGATTCACAAAAATGATACAGCGACAGATTAATAAGACATCTTTACTTGTTATTTCTGATGTTTAAAGGAACACTATAGCATTAGGACTACAAAACTGTATTCCTGACGCTATCGTGTTCTATTTATATTCAGGGGCTCCCTAAACTTAAATACAATTTGGGGAAGAGTGTATTACCATTGTTCCAGCTTCGAGATCCGTTACCTGTAACAACTTATCCTGCCTACGGCACCGTCTCACGGTACGATTGCTATGGGCTTAGGAGACCCACTCACCCTGTGTGGCAGGGGACAACCTCCTTCTGGACTGTAAATTATGGAGTCATACATTTAAAAAAAACCCATAGAACAGAATTAGAAGCTCTGGATAGATGGAGTCTTCCAGCTGCTTAAATCTACTGTGAAAGTGCAGGAGCTTGAAGAACTCGAGATTACAATAAGTATTGAGTTTTTTACTTTGTTATACACTTTCTGCATGTTGTCACCCCTTAGAGGGGCACTGTCTATTTTATGGTAATGATATATCATAATAGCACATCAACGCAAACTTAGTTGTTAGTACTGCTTTCACTTAAATTTAATAAAGTTTTATCATATAGGGGTTAGTATTGAAAACAAGGCTGTGTTTGCATAACCATGATCCGTTGCACATTCCAAATGTCCTATGATACCCTTCTCTTGACCTGTGACACGCAGGGAATCGTAGGAAAATCGTGGCAGTGGCTGAAAGTGTAACAGACGTGAATGTTTTATATTTGCCTGTCCTACACACGCACTACCCTTCATCTTGCTTCAATAGCATTTACTTTAGAAACACGGCGAGGAACTGTCTTGTCAGAAGAACAGTAACAAGTTATCTTTAAATATATTTTCAAACATGAACAGCCAATTTATGGGCTGTATTCAGATACTGGTTAATGTAATTAACAAAATATAACAATATGAATGCATATTGAACCCCTTAAAGGACCACCATAGTGCCAGGAAATCATACTCGTTTTCCTGGCACTATAGTGCCTTGAGGGTGCCCCCACCCTCAGGGACTCCCTCCCGCCGGGTTCTGGGGAGAGGAAGGGGTTAAACACTTACCTTTCTCCAGCGCCGGGCGGGGAGCTCTCCTCTCCGCCTCCTCAGCTCCCCTTCAGCTGAATGCGCATGCGCGGCAGGAGCTGCACGTGCATTCAGCCAGATCAACTTTTCCTAACACCCAACACACTATGTAAAACAATATATATATTTCTTGTTTTGTGTTAACCTCTGTGTGTGGTTGCTGTAACAGAGCACTTACACAAACTAAAGATTACAACAACGGAGCTACCCTATGAATGGGCTACACTGGGCACTGTGGTAAACCCTTCCTTAACATGTTATTTTATCTGTGTTAAGCTGTCTGTTCATGGTAACCCTTTAATGAGAGATGCGATAAATGTCTATAATCAGTGTGTTCATGACGCAGCACTTCCTCTGGGGCAGTAAATGTCTGTACTGTACTTACGTTCGTTTTGAAGTTTTTATTTTTCAGTCGTGCTCTCTGATAGTTTTAGGAGAACATAACGTGAAGTTGGAGTTAGGAATATTTAGAAACGCAATAATTTCTTACTTAAGTAGTATGTGCATGGAGTAGCATAACAGCAGGTGTGGCAGAATGTAATAATGCTCTATGTATGCAGCATTGTTGGTTAACACAGAAGTTCACCCCCATCTGGCACTTACTAAGGCAACACTCTAATTTCTTTATAAAGTTTAAAGAAGAAAAGGAACTTGTGAATCACCAGAAATGTGGTCAAATTATGGGATCATAAATATGAATTTGTAAAAAGCCAAAAACCGAGCTACAATTTTCACTTCTCCTGAATGTGGAAAGCGCATTGAATTGTAAGATATTATTATGCACCAACACGTTCAGTGAGAGCTAGGGCTTTATATATATTCACCTTGTAAGGTAAATCGTACACACATAATTTACATGTTACCAAACCTCATAATAGTCACACAGTTGTATAAAAAATAAGATACAAACTGCACATAATGTGGGCTCACGTATCTAAGGCAAAGCATGTTCTCTATAGAATTTTGAAGATTTAATGAACCGAACTAAAGCCCCAACAGACAGAAACCAGTCAGGTGTAAAGATAGAATAAGTTACAGCATGTATGAATGGAGGGTCTGACACGGTGCTAGAAAGTCAGGGATAACCAAGAATACACGTAATGCCAATCTGGATCAAGGGGTACCAGAATTCTGGGTTAAAAAATGAACTAGGCAAATTAGTAACAGGTGGACAATGAATATACAGTGCCTTGCAAAAGTATTCACCCCCCTTGGCATTTTTCGTGTTTTGTTGCCCCACAACCTGGAATTAACATGGATTGTTTGAGAATTTGCATCATTTAATTTACAGAACATGCCCACAACTTTGAAGATTTTTTTTTTTATTGTGAAGCAAACAACAAATAGGATAAAATAACAGAGAAAGTCAATGTGCATAACTATTCACACCCCTAAAGTCAATACTTTGTAGAGCCACCTTTTGCGGCAATCACAGCTCCAAGTCGCTTTGGATAAGTCTCTATGAGCTTGCCACATTTTACCACTGGGATTTTTGCCCATTCCTCCTTGCAAAACTGCTCCAGCTCCTTCAAGTTGGATGGTTTGTGCTTGTGAACAGCAATCTTTAAGTCTGACCACAGATTTTCTATTGGATTGAGGTCTGGGCTTTGACTAGGCCATTCCAACACATTTACATGTTTCCCCTTAAACCACTCAAGTGTTGCTTTAGCAGTGTGTTTGGGGTCATTGTCCTGCTGGAAGGCGAACCTCCGTCCTAGCCTCAAACCACGCACAGAGTGGTACAGGTTTTGCTCAAGAATTTCCCTGTATTTAGCACCATCCATCTTTCCCTCAACTCTGACCAGGCGGTCTACAGTGTTGCTAAGGGTCTACAGTGCTTATGGTGTCCAGTGCGGTGCTTTTGGTACTCGGCGACAACTAGGAAGCATCAGTTGGCGGAGGTACCCAGTAAGGGTGCCAGGCGGTCCATCACAAAGACCTGATGGCCAAGTACATCCAGTTCCCCTTCCTGCTTTGCTCACTTAACAAAATTACAAATACGTCTCCTGTCTCTGTGAGCAGTAGCTCCAGGAAGACATCTCACAAGACCACTATTGTACAGCTTCACACCTCATATAATAGAATCCCCTAACAACAACTGCTTTCTATTAGGCCTCACCTCATTAGGTGCCTGAGCATCACCTCATTAGGTGCCTGAGCATCACCTCATTAGGTGCCTGATCCTGTCTCCATAACACCACTACACTTGGTTCCTGAGCCTGCCTCCATAACACCACTAGTCTCTGAAAGTGCAGAAAATGAATTATGTAGAGCAACAGACTGTGCAATATGCCTTTTATCCACAACTCTAAGTCTACCAGATCCTACAGTAATCCATCTGCCATTCCTAGTATGTCTCTGCGGCAGTGGCTTTGCAGCAGTTCCAGTCTGAGTTTGTTCACCAGATAATTTACAAATCTCAGATTTCAAAAATACAATCTCCTGCCGCAAGATAGAGAACTGTCTACAGATTAGACAACAACCAAACCTCCAAAAAGTGGAACGTGAAACAAATGCATAACAACTATTATACTGAACTAAGTCTGCCATTCCAATGAGGAGAATAATTTAAATCAAACTAATCTTAACTTTTTATTTATCCTCCTGAATACCTCAGATTACCTCCAGTTTATCTCCAACCACACACTTAGAAGCAACAGTTAGAGGAAGCAACACAGCTATATTAGCCAAGCCTTATATAACTCCTAAAATCACCACCCACTAGGAATGTTTAACACCTGGGTAGGCCTCTGCTTATTTGCAAACAATAGCTAATTTAAACAGCAATCAATAGCAAGTAATCTAATCAAATGCCTTATAATTACCAACAGGAATTCAAAACCTTGTGCAATCAGTAACCTTTTCCTACAGATGAATCTTACCTGTAACAGTAAAATAGAAATCTTTTAGCAAAATCTTAGACAGTTGAAGATTCTGTAAAACTCTCCAGAATATCTCCAATCATACACATACAAGTAAAGACAAGTCTTTCCAGAAGCTTTGAGGGAAAAGGGAGCAGGGATATGGGACGATAGAGAGGGAGGTTGGGTCAAGAGATTTTTTTTTCAGGGTAGGTACCATAGTGCATGTTTAAGGTCAGCAGGGACAATGCCAGAAGAGAAAGAACAGTTGAAAATGTGTGTTAAGGAAGGTGCAAGACAAGGGGAGACAGATCTGATAAGGTGAGATGGGACAGGATCGAGCGGGCAAGTGGTGGGGCGAGAGGAAAGGAGAAGTGCAGCCACCTCTTGTTCAGTAGTCGGGGAGAAAGTCTGAAGGGCAGGAAAGGCATGATCTATGTGTGGTTGAGAAAGAGAATGGCAAGGTGGGAAGCATTTTTTCCTTAGGTGTTCAATCTTGTTGGTAAAATAACATGCAAAGCTACCGGCTGTAAGGTCAGTTTGGGGGGTGGCCAGAGCAGGGCGAACAAGAGAATTAAAGGTGTCAAAGAGACTCCTGGGATTGCGGGAGCAGGAACTGAGAGAGGAAAAGTATGACTGGTGAGGGCAAGGGCTGCGCCGGATGAACACAATATGAATCTATAATGGAGAAAGTCTGACTGGGTGCAAGACTTTCTCCAGGAGCGTTCAGCACAACGGGAGCATCTTTGCTGGTAGCTTTGCACCTCGACATGCATGTTTGGAGCAGGGCTGCAATGTTCAATTCAGAGGTGAGGGTAGTGTTATATGTGGAGATGGCCAGTGAGGGACAGGAGAGGGAAGGGATGGATAGCAATGGTGAATCAATTTCAGCTGTCAGCTGCAGGAGGTCAATATAATTAAGGTTCCTGCTGAGTTGAGGGGGGTTAAGCTGAGATTGTTGGGTGGGGGGGTACTCAAGAGCAAATGATAGGAGGTGGTGATCAGAGAGAGGAAATGGATTGTTGCAGATATTAGTTACTGTACATGCATAAGAGAAGATGAGGTCGAGGGTATTGGCAGCTACATGGATGGGAGAATTAGCCCACTGCAATAGTCCAAGGGAGGAAGTAATTGAAAGTAGTTTAGAGGCTG